TACACGTCCCAGTACTTTTGGGAGAGTTTTAAGATTGAATAGAAGAATCCCTTGTGATATCATCCTTATGCTAGTGAGTAAAAAATAACTTTCAGATCATAGCCTAGCTTGCCCGGAAACGGTCTTGGGATTTTGTACGCCTATTCTTCGTACGTACCGATAAAGAGTCTTTGCAGCTTCTATTTGAATTGTCTTGTTCACATAATCGAAGTGGGCAACGGGTTCGTCACGTTCCAGCTGCGTGGTCTCGAGTTCCGTGGCACGTACTGCCATCAGAGAGAGGTGAGGTGCTTTACCTTCAACGAAAAGTCTACTCATAATCATTGACTGACTAGGTGTGGAGCACCGGAGGTCTTGGTGAGCGAAGTAGTCTGTTTGCAATGCCGGTTTGGGGGAGGGAGCTGATTTTGTAGGGCCCCATTTACGGGACGTGGTAGAAAGGGCACTTCTAATGTCGAGTATCTCCAGCTGGGGTGCTAGAGGAGGGCGGTTAAGTGGCTTGAGAATTTTCCGTGATTGTTGATTTTTTTACCGTTTTACGCGCGCTACGTACATCGTTGGGACTATCCCAATGGAGGACGGTCGTATCCTACTTGACAGCGCGAATGACGCCCAAACCCCCTCCTGCTCGATGCAGGCTTTTCGGTGAAAAGCTAACTTTTTGGGAGCTCCGGGGGAAGTGGTAGGAAGTTGGAGAATTGAAGATGGTGAGTAAGTTGAGGAAGGGGGGGGTCACATTTTGCAACCCTAGGTTTTTGGGTTGGTCTGTCGAACGTTCCTATGTGCATGTGCCACAATTTTCCATAAACACAGTTTGAAAACAGTCATCCAAAATATAATTTCAATTAGCTAAAATATCTTCTTCCAGGTGGAAGCGATATCTGACGATCAGACTAAAGGAACGGGCTGTTGCTGCTGTGCTCCTGGATATCTTCCAGGTTTCCTATCGCTGAATACCGCTTGGAGCTTACGCTGGCTCGCTTGGGAGGTAATGTTTTGCTTGTAATTATACCGGTCCTAATGGTTATTGATATGTGTTTTTTTATTATTTGACATCAATTTGAATATTTTAGGTTGTCACGGGAAAATATATTATAGATGGTTATTCGATTACCGACAACTCGGCCGTTAATTTACTCCAAGTTCATGAACTGAGACGCCTTCTAGTTACCCTATATGTGAAATGCATAGTGTACTATGCTCTTGCGTCGAACAAGTTGCAGAATTGGTTAGCCAATGAAACTGTGGTAAGAATAGTATTTTTTTTTCGCGAATGATAACCCTAAGTTCTTAATC